TGTGACGGCCAACGAAGGGATCCACGCGGGATTCCCAGTGTCCCTGGGGAGCTGGCGGCTGCGGCAAGTGGCGGCCCACAAAGGGATCCCCGCAGGATCCCGGGTAGTCCTGGGGATGTGGCGGCCGCGGTCTGCAGGGACGGCGGGTCGGGTCGGGGTGGGACAGTTGCGCGACGCTTGAAAACTCATTCGCCTTCGCCGACATCGTCGCGTAAGCTACCTGCGTAAGGTCGCGCGTAAACGCCCTCGCTGCCAAAGTGGCGTGCCGCGCTGGCGGCCCGTGTAAGCCGCCGCGTCAGGTCGCTATGCCATCTCGCGTAAGACCCGGTGTTGATCGTCGTTCAGGTGTTCCCCGGCGTGATGTTGGCTGCTCATTCCGGGGACCTTCCTGGTTGCCATTCGCTCCTCTCGCGCGTCGAAGCTGCGTCGAACGTCCGTCGATTCGAGTCGATCTTGAGTCCAGCCCGAGTCGAACCTGAGTCGAAGTCGAGCCGAACCTGAGTCGAGCTTGGGTCGAACTGGGGTCGAGCAGATCCGTCAGGTGGGCCCCCAGGAAAAGGTCCCCCACACGAGCATCTAAGTGATTTGTGCGTGACCCTCCTCCTCGTCGTCGTCCTCCACCTCCTCCTCCTCCTCAACCCAGAACGGGGCTCGCGGACGGCCACAGCGGCGGCGGCGGTGGCGACGGTCGACGGCGGCGGCGGCAGGGGGAGGAGGAGCAGGAGGAGGGTGAGCCGGCGCAGAGCACGAGTCGAGGACCCAGAGGAGGAGGAGGAGGAGGAGGAGGAGGAGGAGGAGGAGGAGGAGGAGGAGGAGGAGGAGGAGGAGGAGGAGGAGGAGGAGGGAGGAGGGAGGAGGGAGGAGGAGGAGGAGGAGGACGAAGAAGAAGGAGAAGAAGAGCGACTCCGAAGCGAGACAGGTCACTTCACCACACCAAAGCGAAGGATGCACTCAAAGGCCCATCTCCGCCGCGCTGCTGCGTCGGCGCGCGGCGTGCAGCCAGATGCAAATGGATGACGCATAGATAGATGCAAGTAGTGGCGGATTTGCCTGTGCATCCAAGAGTCCTCCCCCTCCCCCTCCTCCTCCTCAAACTCCTCCTCAAACTCCTGCTCCTCCTCATTCTCCTCCTGCTCCTCCTCCTGCTCCTCCTCAAGCCAAGACTGAGAAGCAGGCGGGCTCGGGGCAACCCCGGCATCGCCGACTCCGAAACGAAGTAAGAGTTCTGGGGGAGGGCGGCGGCGCCTCGCCTCTCCTCCTCCTCCTCCTCCTCCTCCTCGGCCTCGACGCGAGCCCTCGAGGCCGACGCGCGGTCCTCGCAGGGCGGCAGCACGGCCTGGGGGTGGGGGAGCGCCCGGGGGCTCCTGCGGCGGCGCGGGCCCTGCCTGCGCCGCCGGGGGGGCCACGCGGCTGCCGGACCCGCGGGACTCCCCTGGCCTGCCGCCCGGCAACTGGTCGGACCTCGACCCTCGAAGAGGGAATGCCAGGAGGGAGCAGAAACAGACACACACACACACACACACACACACACACACACACACACACACACACACACACGCACACACACACACCACACACACACACACACACACACACACACACAAACACACACACACACACACACACACACACACACACACACGCACACACATATATATTTTAGTCGTCGGTTCCCCCGAAAGTATGGGAAGATATGGGAAGGGGGGGGGGGAAGACAGACACCCGGGAGATGTGAGACAAGATGGGGGATCGTGCTATTTGTGTGTATTTATTTGTGTGTCCCAGGGCCCCTTCAGAATGGCCCGACCCAAGGTTGACCGACGCCTCGGGTTGGGTTCCAAGACCTCTGCGAAACGCTTGAAGGATCTCGATCCCTTGCCGAGCGGGGGGGAGGCAGACGCGGGCCAGCTTCGAGCCGCGCCCTCGAGACCACCCCCTGCACTTTACACAGAAACTGCTGAACATTCCCTTCGCCTCGCAGGGACACCAGGGATTTCGCAGCCGCCACCGACAATCGAACCTTGGACCGCGACAACTTGATGACCCTTGGAGTCCCTGAGGAGCTTGAGGAGGAAAGGCGGGGTACCCTTACAGCCATCCATCGACGGCGAAGTCCCAGGAGTAGCTACTTCTAAACACTGCTTGCACTGGAGCCCGACGTGCCAGCAACCCCAGTCGTGGAAACTAATCGTGCGCCTGACCTGGGAACGCCTGTCTCGATGGATCCTGGGCCACGTTCTCTCATCCTGGAAACATGGTAGCACTGCAGCTACAAGCGTGATGAAACTGCCTGCTCTGCTCTGGGCCAGCTCAGCATCCTGGAGCAAACTGGGGTCGGGGCTCTGATGCATGGCAAGTGCTATATTTGCATGGGCGTCAGCTGCTTTGTTCGCAACTGCATACCACTATGTATCATCCGGTAACGTCTCAATGGCCTCATCCGAACCATGCGCCTTCACATGTCGAGTGACATTGATGTTGGCTGTGCCAGGGAGAGACTGCGCAAACATGCGGTCAGCTGCATGCTTGTTCGAAGAGCGAATCTGCGCTTACTATGTTGTCCCTGAGTGACTACGGCCATGCAATCAAGGCGAATGTGAGTCTCTCTGTCAGAAGGCTGACATGCGAGGGCATACGCAAGGTGCTCAGCAAAGGCAGGGGTCTGGGGGAGCGAGCCTGCGACAGAGCCTCGAAGGATGGCTAGGGGCTCTTCGCTCTGCGGCCTCAAGGGACATCTCGCCCACGCAGCCCCGCGAAGGCACCTGAGAGGATACCTCGTACACGAGCCATCCGCTGCTAACTCAATCAGCGGGGCATCCCCCAGGAGCCCTCCCACCTGCTCAAAAGAGTTGGGGATCTCTTCGCCATTCCCCCCAACAGCGCAACACACACTCGACGCACACGGGGGGAGGGGAACCACACTAGGACCATGGGCAAATCATACCCCTCGTAAAAGTCAATTCGTGGCTATCTCTAGCTGTCTGGAGGACATCGCTCGAAACGTATGCTGCGTTTCGAGCTGAGACTACCTCTGGAAGCGTACACGTGTACAAACGGTGATGCAAAGTGTCGGTGCGCCCACATATGCACCTGCTTGTGGTATGGTATCCAACAGGACGGCATCTCTCTTTTGTCCACACGACATCGCAGGCGCAGCACCGTATGAGAGAACGTTGATCCTGTGTCATCGTGTTGTTGGCCTTCGTGCAGACAGGACCTCGAACTAAATCAAAGGGTGCACATTGCTGCTCTGGGAGGTTGAGCTTCCGCGCCAATGCTTTTTCACGTTGACGCTGCAGCCCTACCTCGAGCACATCAAAAAGAAGTGCTGGGGTCAGCTGTCCGTTCTGCACCTCGTGGTCTATCCATGTCAAAGGCCCGGGAGCTTCCAGCTTGCACGTCGAGCTGCGGGGCACGCTCTGGAGAGGGGCCCTTTGCTCGAGTGCCAGGACCCAGGATTGCTCGCCTTAGCCTCACGCCGCATTATGCATAACGAGTCCAGAGAAACAAGTGCTCGATCAGCGTTCGATTGCGACAGCCACACCATACGACACCACTGCAACGCGGGAGCCAACGCTGATCGAGCGCTTTCGTCTCCGAAGAGAACCATCTGAGCTGACAGACTGGTGCCGCCATGCTGCGGGTAGTGCACTCTGCTCTGGAGCCGTCGAAAACTCAGCCACTCGGCTTCGTTCAGGCCCAGGACCTCGGTTCCGAAAGTCGCTCCCGTGGAAACTCTAGTTTTTTTGTTACGCGTTGAACAGCTTGCTTGGTGCACCCTGCTATAGTGCGAGCAGGGCGCTTGTGATTGCGAAGCCTCAAGCGCATCTTGCCAAACCTCGTGTGCTGCTTGGCTCTAATTCCGATTCTAACTCGCTGTGTTGCACATGATTGATCAATTCCTAGGTCAGTTGCACTGCTGAGGGCGGCCTCGCGGGGTAAACCGAGCTCCCGACACATCTCTTGTGCCAAGCCAGCTGTATTGGTGACGACTGCGACTTTATCGTTCAGGCTGGCGTGCAACTGCTGACCAGGAGCTGATCAAACTCCTGCACAGCATTGATCTTAATCGACATGTCGTTAGAAACGTCCCCTGCAGGTAGACCCGCTTCGGCGAACAAAACTCTCTGAGCGTGGTGCTGTCCTAGCCGAAGGAGCCTGGGACCCTTTCCAAACATTATGAACTAGCTTTTAAGACATGTCTGGACCCCGAACTGCAGAACTTCTGGCGCAGCACTGTTAGGGGGGTCGTCTCGTAGTACTCGAGAAATCGGCGACAAGTAGCACATTGAACCTTTCAGATTCGTTGTCGCACTCACTCCGTGCTGCTTGGTGCCACGCGCAGCCCATTGCTGACCTTCCACCGGACGCACCCCAATAACGATGATCGACCAAACGATTCACCTCGGTCAGCAGTGGACGCGGTGCTTTCTTGCCACAGTCAATACGTGCCAGCATAGAGTACTATCAGCCTGTTTCCCCTTTTGGGCTTGAGGAGCATGGGTTGGATGACCCAAAGGAGCTGATGCGGCAAAAGTCCGATGGCTTCGCAGGCTTGCCACAACGCGCCTAAGACCTCAAGGCCTCGGTCATCGAGGGCCAGCACAAATCTCGGGTGGAAGTGGTCAGAACTGCTGGAGGAGTTGCGCGAAAAATTGCGCCCGAACTCTCGTACCGTTGCAAACGAAACTCTTTCACAGGACGAACGATCAGGAACCCAAGCCCTGGGAGCCTCAGAGGTCGCACCCCAGAGCTTCTCATACAGCGATACTTCGTGCTTGACTATGTTAATCGTGTCCGCTTTGGGCCCATTGGGCCCTTGAACGATAGTGGCGGCTCTAACTCGACGGACCAGAGGAGGAGGACGAGGAGGAGGGGGAGGACGAGGACGAGGACGAGGGCGAGGACGAGGAGGAGGAGGAGAAGGAGGAGGAGGAGGCGGCGACGGCCATGCCCGACGGCAGCGACGGTGTGCGACGACACCCGCGGGCCCCCCCGAGGCGGCGACCTGGGGCTGCTCGGCGACCTGCTGGGCGGAGGCCCGCCGAAGGGCCTGGGGCATGCAGGGAGGGGCTTGACAGGTCTAGGGTCCATCTACAGGAGGAATACTCCAAAATAGTCAAAAAATAGTCTGGTGAGTATTTTTCTAGCTTGTTTGACTATGTTTGAACATGTTTTGGTAATCTCTTATTTTTCGTCTAAGATTCGCACGTCGGGGGACACACCCGACCTCTGTCTAGGGCATATCGGCGGCGAGTGCGGGGGGGGGAGTGAGAGGTTCGAGGCGGTTTTTCACCGGTTTCAGCTTTGGGGGCCGTTTGCGGTCCCCGGGACGCCCAGAACTTTGGCATCGCTCGGACGTATGCATTTTTCTTTCGGCGAGGGCCATCGAGGAGCATCCTCGATCATTTGGCGAAAAAAGCCACGCACGAAACCAAAAAAAACAGGGAATGGACGTCCGAGCGATGGCCAAGAACTCGGTCTGGGGCGAGGAGCCGCGTCGGTGGGACCCCGGGCAGGGTCGGGGGGCCGATTTCTGGCGGCGCGCCCGGGGGGGGAAGCGAGAAGGATAATGCCTTCTCAGAAGGCGGCGGGGCTTCGCAGAAGCAGGAGGAGGAGGAGAGGAGGAGGAGAAGGAGGAGGAGGAGGAGGAGGAGGAGGAGGAGGAGGAGACGGAGGAGGAGGAGGAGGAGGAGGAGGAGGGGGAGGTAGGAGGAGGAGGAGGAGGAGGAGGGAGGAGGAGGAGGAGGAGGAGGAGGAGGAGTAGGAGGGGGAGGAGGAGGAGGAGGAGGAGGAGGAGGAGGAGGAGGAGGAGGAGGAGGAGGAGGAGGAGGAGGAGGAGAGGAGGAGGTAGGAGGAGGAGGAGGAGGAGGAGGAGGAGAGGAGAAAAAGGAGGAGGAGGAGGAGGAGGAGGAGGAGGAGGAGGAGGAGGAGGACGATGAGGACGAGAGGAGAGAGGACGAGGAGGAGGAGGAGGAGGGAGGAGGACGAGGAGGAGGAGAGAGGAGGAGGAGGAGGAGGAGGAGGAGGAGGAGGAGGAGCCTCCGGCCTTCTGAGAAGTTTGTGGTGTCCTCTGGGGTTCGGAAGCCTCTCAGAAGGCACGGGGACGTCCGAGCCTTCCGAGAAGGCCCGCCCTTTGTCACGTCCCCCCAGGCTCGCCGCCGGGTTTAGGCCTCCCAGGAGATTGGTGGTTTTGGTGGAGGCACCCGAGGCGTGCGGGGGCGGCGGAGCGAGCCGCCGTCGAGATGATCGCTCATCTCGGGGCGCGATGCGCAAAGTTATAGGGGAGATCAGCTCACCGGGTCGACCCCCAATCGCCCATGCTCAGGCGATCGTAAACGTGGATCAAGGAGGCGTGGATCAGCGACGGGTCCCGTTTCCGTGGGAGACCGCGGCTGTCCGCCGCCGAACGAGGCGGCAGCGGCCGCATTTTGGGGAGGGCACCTCCCCCGATCCATGGTGCGAATCCTGGGGTGCGATCGCCGCAAACCTGACGCTCACCCGTACGCCCTGGCCCGGCCTCCGGAGAGCAAAAAGTCAGCAAGAGATCATTGCGTTGTCTCATTCTTCCATTCTTTCTCCCCCGATCCATGGATTGCGAAGGCCTTCCGGCCGGTGCCGCCGACCCTGAAGACGACGAAGATGAAAGCGAGGGTGAGGAGGAGCAGGAGCAGGAGGAGGAGGAGCAGGAGGAGGAGCAGGAGCAGGAGCAGGAGGAGGAGCAGGAGGAGGAGCAGGAGCAGGAGGAGGAGGAGGTAGAGGAGGAGCAAGAGGAGGGGAGCAAGGGGGGGGGGAGGAGGAGGAGACATGGATTTGGCGACCGCGCGCCAGATCCGTGGATCGCTACACCTCAGGCGATGCTTAAGAAAACTTAAATTTTCGGCCAGAGTCTCGATTATTCTTAACCTTTCAATGTAAATCCTAAGCTTTGAATGGAAATTTTGGGTTTTTATTCAAGTTCTGAGACTATGAATTTCTTAACCCATGATTTCTTAAGCATTTCGCATGGTGTACTCCATGCCTGCGCGCCCCCGACGCTCCTCGCCGACAGGGGCCCGGCAGCCCGCCGCACGCCCTGGAGGCGTGCGGTGTTTCGCAGCCGGGGGCCCATCGCCGCTCCCTCGGCGGGGCATCGCGGGCATCGCGGGCGCTGAGCCCAGACCCCTCCTCCTCCTCCTCCTCCTCCTCCTCCTCCTCCTCGTCCGTCTCCTCCTCCTCCTCCTCCTCCTCCTCCTCCTCCTCCTCCTCCTCCTCCTCCTCCTCCTCCTCCTCCTCCTCCTCCCCCTCCTCCTCCTCCTCCTCCTCCTCCTCCTCCTTCTCCTCGATGTTTTCCTGCTGAGCCAGACCCCTGGTTTAAGTTTGGCCTGTCCCTCTACAGGAGGAATATCCAAAACAGTTTTTAAACAAATATCCTGGCGAAGGACCCAACCATTATCGCATTGCGGGTGCCGCTTTGGGTGGAGCTCCCTGTGGGCCACGAAACGCTGTGCTGGGTGGGGCACCACTGGGGCCTTCGGTGGAGGTCCCTGTGGGGCCACGAAACGCTGTACTGGGCGGGGGTGACGCATGCGGGCGGCACCACTGGGGCCGTCGGTGGAGCTCCCTGTGGGGCCACGAAACGCTGTGCTGGGTGGGGGTGGCGCATGCGGGCGGCACCACTGGGGCCTTCGGTGGAGCTCCCTGTGGGGCCACGAAATGCTGTGCTGGGGTGGGGGTGACGCATGCGGGCGGCACCACTGGGGCCTTCGGTGGAGGTCCCTGTGGGGCCACGAAACGCTGTGTTTGGTGGAGGTGCCGAAATGGGTGTGCGGGACGCATGCGAGCGGTGGCACTGGGGCCTTCGGTGGAGCTCCCTATGGGGCCACGAAACGTGTGAGGGGTGTGCCGAATTGGGTGTGGCTGACGCATGCGGCTGGGGCCACGAAACGTGTGAGGGGTGTGCCGGGTGTGGCTGACGCAGGAGGGCGGCTGCTTTCGGTGGAGCTTCCTATGGGGCCACGAAACGTGTGAGGGGTGTGCCGAATTGGATGTGGGTGAACGCATGCGGGCGGCGGCACTGGGGCCTTCGGTGGAGCTCCCTATGGGGCCACGAAACGTGTGAGGGGTGTGCCGAAATGGGTTTGGGGGACGCATGCGAGCTGGCACTGGGGCCTTCGGTGGAGCTCCCTATGGGGCCACGAACGTGTGAGGGGTGTGCCGAACTGGGTGTGGCTGACGCATGCGGGCGGCGGCACTGGTGCCTTCGGTGGAGCTCCCTATGGGGCCACGAAGCGTGTGAGGGGTGTGCCGAATTGGGTGTGGCTGACGCATGCGGGGCGGCGGCACGTGGGGCCTCGGTGGAGGCTCCCTATGGGGCCACGAAGCGTTGAGGGGGTGCCGAAATTGGGTGCGTTTGCCATGTGGGTGCGGCCACTGGGGCCTTCGGTGGAGCTCCGGGGGCACGAACGTGTGTGTGAGGGGTGTGGGAAAAGGGTGTGGCTGACGCATGCTGGCGGCAGCACTGGGGCCTTCGGTGGAGCTCCCTATGGGGCCACGAAACGTGTGAGGGGTGTGTCGAATTGGGTGTGGCTGACGCATGCGGGCGGCAGCACTGGGGCCTTCGGTGGAGCTCCCTATGGGGCCACGAAACGTGTGAGGGGTGTGCCGAATTGGGTGTGGCTGACGCATGCGGGCGGCGGCACTGGGGCCTTCGGTGGAGCTCCCTATGGGGCCACGAAACGTGTGAGGGGTGTGCCGAACTAGGTGTGGCTGACGCATGCGGGCGGCAGCACTGGGGCCTTCGGTGGAGCTCCCTATGGGGCCACGAAACGTGTGAGGGGTATGGCGAATTGGGAGTGGGCATGCGGCACCACTGGGGCCTTCGGTGGAGCTCCCTATGGGGCCACGAAACGTGTGAGGGGTGCCTTGCGGTGGATGGGGGGGCGGGCTATGGGGCCATGCGGGCGCAACTGGGGCACGTGGCGGAGTGGGAGAAGGTGTGACGATGATGGTGATGATGACGATGATGGTGAGCGATGATGATGATGATTGATGATGATGATGATGATGATGATGACGATGATGATGATGATGCGATGATGATGATGATGATGATGATGACGATGATGATGATGACGATGATGATGATGATGATGATGATGCTGATGATGATGATGATGATGATGATGATGATGATGATGATGATGATGATGATGATGATGATGATGATGATGATGACGATGGGAAGAGGGAGGAGGGGGAGGAGGAGGAGGAGAGGAACGCGGGGCACCGTCTCTTCAAAACGAGGACCCAACACCACAGGATGGTTGGGAAATAGTCAGGGGACGATTTTTCTACTATTTTTGATAATTTGGGGGCATTGACGGTTTTGAAGTTGTCGCTCAAAATCGGCCTGCAGGGGACAGGCCCGACTGAACCCCTGGTGATCCACGGAACACAGCTCGGGGCTCTGGCGGCCGCTCGGGACGAGCCGGGCACCCCCAGAACGCCCGCGGCCAGGCGCAGCCGCCGGACGGCGTGCCCCGAGGCCGGAACAAGCAGCCGAGAGCCAGCGGCAGCGCCAGAGAACACCTCGAGGCTCGCAGCCTCGAGCTTCGAGGCTGCGAGCCAGTACAGGCACCCCCAGAACGCCCGCGGCGAAGTGCAGCCGCTGGACGGCATGTCCCGAGGCCGGAACAAGCAGCCGAGAGCCAGCGGCAGCGCCAGAGAACACCTCGAGGCTCGCAGCCTCGAGCTTCGAGGCTACGAGCCAGTAATTACCCCCTTGTCGCCGACCTTCAGTGAGGCGTTGGAGGGCCAAGCCTGCCTGCTTCCAGGAGGCGAACCTCTGGGGCCGATGTCAATTACCGTCCTCACGTCCTATAGCCCAAAGCTGGATGCGTCTGAGGACAACGTGGCCATTGCGCTCGGCGCGGTGCAGGGTAGGAGAAAAGAAAGATCCGTCTACGGTGTGTTCTTGCTCTAGAGCAGGTCCCACATGGTAAGCCAAGAGAGGAGAGTGGATTCAGGGTCGAGGTTCATGGGGTTCAAGCGTTTGGTATCCTTTTCAGGCCTCGGGGTGTTCTCTGGCGGACTCTGGCGCTGCCGCTGGCTCTCGGCTGCTTGTTCCGGCCTCGGGACATGCCGTCCAGCGGCTGCACTTCGCCGCGGGCGTTCTGGGCGTGCCTGTACTGGCCCGCAGCCTCGAAGCTCGAGGCTGCGAGCGTTCTGAACCCCAACGCTTGAAAAGGATACCAAACGCTTGAACCCCAGGAACCTCGACCCTGAATCCACTCTCCTCTCTTGGCTTACCACTCTGGCGCTGCCGCTGGTTCTCGGCTGCCTGTCGGGGCACGCCGTCCGGCGGCTGCGCCTGGCCGCGGGCGTTCTGGGGGTGCCCGGCTCGTCCCGAGCGGCCGCCAGAGCCCCGAGCTGTGTTCCGTGGATCACCAGGGGTTAAGTCGGGCCTGTCCCCCACAGGCCGAGTTTGAGCGAAAACTTCGAAACCGTCAGAAGATCCCCAAATGGTCAAAAATATGGAACAATTCGCCCCCGGACTATTTCTGTTCCAGCCTCGGGATGCCGTCCAGCGGCTGCGACTGGCGGGCGTTCTGGGGGTGCCCGTACTGGCTCGAGGCTTCGCAGCTCGAGGCTGCGACCGGGAGGCCTTTGGTCCCCGCGTTCGGGTCCGCCTCCACGTCTGGTGAAAAGGGCACCCCTGCACAGGTCGGGTGGGATGTCCGACAGAGGAGGAGGAGGAGGAGGAGGAGGAGGAGGAGGAGGAGGAGGAGGAGGAGGAGGAGGGCGAGGAGGAGGAGGAGGAGGAGCAGGAGAGGACGGAAGATGGAGGATGGGAATGAGGAGGGATGAGGAAGGAGAAGGAAGATGGGAGGATGGGGGAGGAGGAGGAGGAGCAGGGGGTGGCCTCTGTGAGGGGCGCGCCCGCGCGCGCAGGCGGCGCCCCCGCGCCGGCGGCGGCCCCGCCCGTGGCGGTCGCCGCCCCGGGCGGCGTGGCGCCAGGCCTGCGGCGCGTCTCCCCGCCGCCCCTCGCGGGGGCCCCCGTCGGAGGGGTGGCCACTCACCACCCACCAAACCACCCCAACCCAACCCGAAGGCCCAAATTTATCCTCGATTTCCAGTGGGGGGGGGGGTCGGGGAACGTTGAAAAAACACATGGTATCCGTACCCCCCCCAACCCGAAATTCGGGTCAAGTTCGGGTCTTCGGGTTGGGTTGGGGTGGTCTGGTAGGTAGTCAGCCACGCACGCGGGTCAGGAAAGCGTGCAGACAAGACGCTGCAATAAGGAACAATTTTGGATTCTTCGGAAGGGCTCGATGTTCCTCGGGTTCCTCCGTGGCTGTTGCTCTTGCCCACCGCGGGCACGGAGGCGCCTTCAGGGCCAAGAAGGGGCTTCGTTCCTTGTGTAGCGTTCCTTCTTTCAGCGGCCCGACTGTAAGGCTCGGGTATTCTAGGCCTCCTAGATGGGGTCGGAGTAGGCTCGAAATCGCCCCAAGAGGTTTCAAGAGCCGCAGTCGGTGCCCAGCAGCCAAAGCAGTTCATAATCGATTATTGATGATCCCAAAACGATCAATAGATACCCAAGAACGGCTAACATGCCGCCAAGAAATTACAAGAGATCTTACGGTGGGAACCTAGGCGCCCCGAGACGCTTCGGCGCCTGAGCCCGTTATGCTAAATTTTCGGTACTAAATTAGGATGGCCTTTCTTGAGCCCGGACGATGGCGTCTCGAGGCCCTCGGAAAATGTTTGTGGGGCATGTTTGGGCATTCTGAGGGTTGCCTTGGACATCTCATGAAACCATCTTGGGGCTCTCTTGGACCAGATTGCAGTCACCAAGAGGCCTCAGAAAAAAACTGGAAGCGAAAAGGAGAGAAAACAACAATCAATGACCAAGACAATGCTGTTGACATAGTTTGATTTCGCGGTGCCTCATTCAGAAGTTCCGCGGCCACTTGGGCCGTCTTGGGGCGTCATTGACGCCTATTCGAGGCATGCTGGATGGCATATCTGACCTCCCACCCATCCCTTCCCATTGATCTGTTATTGTTTACTATTCGCTGGCGGTTATCACAGCGGACTTGGAATCCCGAAAAGGGCCCCATCGTGTCATGCGCAATCACGACAGGGGAGCAGCGTCCATGGGGGGGGCAAGAGGAGGGGTACACTTCTCCGAGGGGGATAACACGGAGGGCGATGGAATGACAAACCCGTCAGGCCACCTACGCCCAGACGGCTGGTGGGATGCGCTTAGAAAGCTGTGCCCGGCAGCCCAGTGGCTCAACAGAGGGTGGATCGTCGTATCTGGTCCAAGAACGATGTGTGGCCGCGACAGGTTCTGATCCGTTCTGGCTCGCTACAGGCGGAGTGAGACCGAGCGCCGTAATTTCCCAGTGCGCACTCCAGAAAAGCGACCCACGAACGGCCCCCTCCTCATCCCCATCGCGCATCGCACGCCCGTCACGCTGGTCCTACGGGCGGGCACAGCTCGAAATCGCCCGCCCGCCACTTGGACAGACGTGACTGTGCCGCCTGCGTGCGCTTCTCAGCCACGCGCAGAAGGGGGGTGGGGGGAGGGGGATGGCTTCTTAGAAGCACCCCTGCTTCTAGAAGGCGCGGGACTTCTCTATAGATGTAAGGCCGGCGCCTTCTAAGAAGCAGCCTCCTGCCAAGAAGCCCCCCCCCCTCCCCCCACCCCTTTGTGCTCGCCGCCAAGGTTCTTCAGCCACCCTCCACCACATCGATCTAGTTCGGTTTCGGTTCCGGCCAGCCCGATCATATTCGATTCCGATGTTCCGACGATCCGAGGCGGCTCGATGCATGCACAGCGCTGTTGTGCCTGTTGGCGCGTGGCTACGCCGCCCGATGCAGCAGTTCGATGCCGTTTAACCGATCCCCATCCCCATTCCCATCCCCTTCGAGACCCCCACCAAGTTACCACCCCAGTTGGGGACACACCCTTCGAAACTTGAAGGGAACGACCTATATCCCCATCTAGGGGGGTAAATCGGCCAGTGGGGCTCAGGCCACGCCGCTGGGGATGGGGATCGGTTAAACGATATTCAGCAGGTTCAACAGATGCCGGTTTCAGGCGTTCGGGTGCCGAAGTGCTCGCGCCGCCTGCGTTCGGGTGCCGCAGTGCACGCGCCGCCTGAGAACGATCTTGGCAGACGCTTGGATGGTCAATTCGCGAGGGGCCGTGCGAATGACCCACCCCCACCAGGAACATCGAGTCCCTATCCCAGCAGAAGGAGCAGACGTGCGCGTGGAGCTTCCCACTACTCCATTCGGCAGCCACACGGTGTCTCACGGACGGCGGACCGATCCTCCAAAACAGTGTTTGCGCTCAGGAGTTGCTGCTTGCGTTTCTAAGAAGTTCGGGTGGTCGTCGCAATATTTCGCCACGCTCCCGCTCGTGGGCGCCCCGTGCTCGTGCCCGCTCGAGGGCGCCTCGCGCCGGCTTGTGGGCGCCTGGTGGGTGGTCGCCCCCCCCGGGCGGCGGGCAGGCTCTTCCAGGTTCCGCCTCGCTCCCGCTCGTGTGCGCCCCGTACCCGCTCGGGGGCGGCCTCGTGGGCGCCTCGTGCGCTGGGTGAGCTCCTCGAGCCCGCTCGCGTGCGCGTCCTTCTCCTCCTCCTCCGCCTCCTCCTCCTCCTCCTCCTCCTCCTCCTCCTCCTCCTCCTTCTCCTGTTGGTGGGCGCCGCGTGGGCGCCCCGTGCAGCGGGTGGGTGCCGCGAGGCGTGGTCGCACCCCCGCCCGCGGGCGGCCCTTGGCCCGCTCGCGGGCGCCTCGGGGGCGCCCCCTACGCTCGGGTGGGGTTGCCCCGGGTGTCGCCGCGCTCCCGCTCGTGGGCGCCCCCTGCGACGGGTGGGGTTGCCCCGGGTGTCGCCGCGCTCCCGCTCGTGGGCGCCCCCTGCGACGGGTGGGTTGCCCCGGGTGTCGCCGCGCTCCCGCTCGTGGGCGCGCCGCACGCGCCGGGGGGCGCCGCGGGAGCGCACAGGGAGTGCGCTGAGAGACATGCCGCGAGGTTTCGCCACACGCTCGCCCGCGGGCGACCCGCGCCCGCTCGTGGTCGCCTCCTGGGCGCCCTGGTGCGCTCGACGGGTTTCCGTAGGTTTGGCCACGCCCGCCTCGAAATTCGAGTCAAGACTCGGGCCGGGCGGAAGGGGGGGGGCGACGTGCCGAATTCTGCAAAAGGTTCGGCCATTCTTCGATACATGGCCGCCTCCGGCGCCGGGAGGCGCCGGGAAAATCAGCTACGTGAGCTGATTCTCAAACCCCCCCTTTGCTATCCCCCCCTTTCGCCCGACCCGAAAGACGCACCCCAAGAGAAGTTCGGGTGGCGCACGGGTTTGCAAAGCGAGGGCAAGAGCAAGCAGGAACGGGCGAGGGGGCTGGACGGGAGACGGCGAAGGTTCAATGGCCAAAGAGGATGGCGCCAAGTGCCAACAGATGCAAGGCTCGAGGGACCAAGGTGCATGGCGCGAAGCGCCAATGAAGTCCGTATCTATTCCTATTTATGTGTTTTTATTGGGCTGGGGACCCCGGAAAAAGCGACCCCCCCCCACCTAACGAATTTCGGGCTCCCCGGGCTGCTTGAAGCCCCCCCCCAGGCTGCTCGGACGCCCTTGCAAAGGGTTCCTTCGGCCGTCCGGCCTTCTCGGAAGGTCCAAAGAGGCCTCCAAGATTGCCCAAGACAGCTCGTCGACAGTTTCAAAGCACACCAAAACCTTCAACATGGCTTCCAAACGCCCCAAGAGGCCCCCAAGAGGCTTCCCAAGAGGGCCCGAAGAGGAACAAATCATTGATTTTTCAATGGTTTTTGAAGTCTTTTCCGGTTTTCGCTTTTTCCGGACAAGAACGGCCTAAGACGGCCCGAGAGGCTCCAAAGATCGTGCCAGCACGGCCCCAGAAGCCCCCCAAAGGGCTCGAAAACGGCCCAAGAGGGCCCCTAGACGGCCCACGAGGGCCCGAAAACTACCAAGGGAGCCCCAAGACGGCCCCAAGAGAGCCTCAGGAGCACCCCAAGAGGCTCCCAAGAGGGCCCCAAGAGGCTCCCAAGACAGCCCGAAGACGGCCGAAGGCCTCCAAGACGCCCCAAGACGGCCCGAAAGGGCCCCAAAACCGCCCAAGAGAGTCCCAAGAGGCCAAAAGGACCCCCAAGAAAGCCCAAAGAGGCACAATTCATTGATTTGTTGAAAAGGTTTGAAGGGTTTTCGGTTTTCGCTTTTTCGGGCCACGAACGGCCCAAGACAGCCCAAGAGCGTTTTACATGGAATTGCCTTATAAAGCAAGTATCAAACGGATGTAGAGATCGTTTAACAATAACTTACCGTGTAAAACGAGCGTCAAACGCTCTTGCGACGTTCAGACGTTGGAAGGCGTTATCATTCTAAATCCATACGTACATACATACATATATACATACACACGCATACCTACGCAAAATAGATTCACATGTGCACGCACATCCCCCCACGAACGTATTTCGGACTCCCCGGGCTGCTGGGAAGCCCCTTCCCGGGCTGCTCAACCTGCTTGGAAGCTCCCCGGGGGCTGCTCGAACGCTCTTGCAAGGGTTTTTGTTCGACCTTCCAGCTTGAGGTGTTCAGACTACTCATCGCTTGAGACTCCCTCGCACAGCTGACTTTGGAGATGCCCTGCCCCATAGTGCTCGGGCCAGTTTCGCCTGAGACATTCTCATTCTCGCAAGGTCAACCTTGGATACGCCTTGCCGCGTAGCAATCAGACACGTAGCACTCCGACACGTTCACAAGGCCTCCAGATTTTTCCCAAAGGTTATGGCGGCGCCCGTCGTTGAGTCCCTCTCAGGTCCTCCTGTCTTTCAACGCTCTCGGAGGCCAGCTCCCAGCGTCTTGCATCCGCGTCAGTTCCAGCCTCCATGCCATGACTTCCGATCCTGAGCGTGCGTGCCTGCCTGTCCTCGGGTCCGCGGGACTCCTCCCATTTCTCTTTCCCTTCGCCTTCCTCCTTCCCACTGTCGG